GACAGACGAGCGTGGCAACCGTTTTGCGGGCATCTCCCACTTGGCGTGTCTATCGTGAAGGGCTTTCGTTCTGAGATGTTCCGACTCTGTAGACGAGTGTAAACACAAAGTAAGCTCCCTCCATCTGCTTCCCCAGGTTCCGACGATGGGAGCTTGCGGATCTGGGCTCCCTCTGCAACCCTTCCAGCAGGCTTCAGGCAAGAACAGGGGAGCAGGGATCCGCATAATTGGATTCGCTTGTTGGGCCATGTTGCTTGCCACGCCCATGCCGGAGGCCCGTGGAAAGCCACAGCACAGAGCCTGTCAAGCAGGAGCTGCCCGTCATGGTGATCCATGTCACAACATGGTCGTTGAACAGCGGGGGGCTGGAATGAACAGGGACAGTCGGACAGTCACGTGCAACCCTTGGTTGCCCTTTTGAGTTTTCAAAAGAAATCGCTGAAATGTGGGATCACAGTCGTGCCTCCTTGAAGGCTGAACAAGTTGAAGTCACAACAGCAAGCCTGGGACTCAAGTACGCTCTTTGCGGCTGTGATCGCCTCGGCTATCGTCGACCCCAACCTCGTTTGCCTCTGACTGGTGAGGTGCCGAAGACTTGCTCTTCGCCCAGTCTGTCAGGCCACTTTTTCGAGGAGACCCACCCCGCATCTGAACAGCATCTGCGACTGCATGGCATCACGTGAACGATGACGATTGCAGCCGGACTGCCCAGGAGCTTTGGTCAAACCGGCGTCTTCGTCTGCAGCACCCCCGCCGGGGCCCCACCTCGTGCAGAAGGACTCGTCGCGAGCCTAAGTCTCACAAATTGGCAGAGCTTGGCTGACCTTCGACGATTGTCCCCTCCATTGACATCAAGTGCTGCCAACATGCACCAGGCAAGCTGTCACACAGCCAGTGGCCAACGGCAGAAGTGAGGCTGCGACTCTCCAGCAACCAGCACATTTTCATTGACGTCCGCAAATTTTCTGGTTTTCAGTGGATGAAACCGGCCTTTGGCCATTGGATGCCTTCAGTCGCTGCACTGAGGCTACGACGTCAGGCCACAAAGCTTGCAGGCTGTGGGACAGGTCGATAAGTATGGTTCGATGCACGTGCTCAAATCACTGAGGCAAGACAGGATCTTGTAGCAGTCTGTGATGCTCCTTGCTGCCCTTTGTCGCATCATTTTATGCAATTAAGCCCAATCCAGTCCTACCATAGCATTTGCCAACCATAGTCGATAGAGGCACCGCAGCAGACCATGTTGTGCGGTCGTTCCGAGCGATGTAAGTAAAAATGCCTGAAGCACTTACAGATCAGCGCCCACTGACGCCTCCTGCGGCTGGGCGTGCGCAGCATCCCTGGTCCATTTGCAGTGAGGGTGTCTCAGGAGGTACTTGCATCAACAGGTCCCCCTTCTACACCCGGTGCAGTGGAAAAAAATAGGGCCCTGGTCACCTTGTCTCGACTCTGGACAGAGTGCCTTCAACGTGTCTTCTTCCTGCTGGCGAGGTGCAGGAAAGGAGAGAGGGAGGTGAGGGGCATGGGATGCATGGGCACGTGCCGTTGCCATGCAATTGCCCTTAATCCAGGTCAGCGTCATCAAGGATCAACATCCTCGACCAGCTTGCGTCTCAGACTTCAGAAAGTGGGAGTGCGAGCTGCATACCTGTCCATGCCCCGCACAATGTGTGTGTGTGTGTGTGTATGTGTGATGCTACACGATGCTGCAGTAGTTTCATGTTTCAAGGCAGCCATATCGTCGAAGACGATGCATACCGGGTTATTTCCACCATGCCCAGCAATTTTTGGCAAAGCAGCACAAAGCACGCGACACGCATGAGCCGCAAAGTCGAAGCTGTCACCTGGATCTGCAGACTCCGGTACCACATTCCCCGAACAGAAAGTGTTGTTCAATCGATACTTGACAAGACCAGCTCGTAAACATACTGACTGGACTATGATGCAATCCAGAGCTCAGTGTACCCAAGAGTTTGAATCCTCACAGGTCTACTGCACGGATTGGTCATGCAGCGACTTCATAGCCTCTGCCTGCGGAGACAATCGGCTCCGCATCTTCCGGCCAGAGGAGCCGCCGGGCGGGACCTTGTAAGAGCCGAATCCGAATCGAAGTTCCGAAGTGTGGTGGTGCCAGCTTTTTGGTGACTTCCCTGCTTGGCTCGCACACGCTTTCCCGGAATGAGCATGCTCTTAGACGTCGGACACTCAAGCGCATCCTCAGACGGCCATCGCTGTACCATTGTTTCCATCTGTGGCGATTCGTGTAGTGTAGACAGTAACGAGCGCAAAACTGATGTGTCGCCCGATCATCTAGGACGCTGCTAGAAGAATCATGTGAACATGGGATGCGCTCGAGCCCATGATCTACCGGCACAGCGACTACAGCGGGTCGCTGTTCACAAAGTCAGCAAGTGTGGGGGTGACTGGAAGCATGCTGTTCATCTACTACACGAGGCTGCGGAAGTGCAAGTTGACTCCATCTCTTACAACCGTGCGATTACTGCTTGCAAGACAGCGACAGCATGGAAGCAAGCCGCCTTTCTGCTGCACAGAATGGCGGGAGCCACTTTGCGAACGAGCACAGTCACTCATACGGCAGCTCTGCGCGCCTGTGGACACGCCCACTGGCCGGTGGCATGCTTCCTTTTCTCCAGGGTTCGGAGTCTGCAACTTCGACTGAATCAGATATCTTTCGGATCCCTCCTGTTCAAGGAGCAACGCGGAGCTTGGCAAAGAGTGCTACACTTGGTGGCTGAGCTAGAACATTACAAAATGGAGCCAAGCCTGATAATGCACAATGCCGCTGTGAGCCATGTGACGGCAGAAGCAGCCTGGCGAGTAGCCATCTGCCTTGGGGAGAACAGTTCTGTGAAGCAGCTGCAACCGGACACTGTGTCAAAGAATGCGTGCATAAACACGTTTGGCAAAGCCTCTTCGTGGCAGACAGCAGCCCTTCTTTTCGAGCGGTGCTTGGTGCACCTTCAGTCAAACACGGTCACTCTCAATGCTGCTATCACTGCATGCGACGGCGCCTCGGAGTGGCACCACGCTTTGCATTTTCTGCGAGAGGCAGCTTCGCAGCAGCTGGTGCCAAACATCATCACATACAACGCAGCCATGAGCACTTGCGAGAAGGCTTCAGAATGGAAATCGGCCGTTTGGTTGCTTCAGCTAATAGGCCACGGCTGGCTGGAGCCGGATGTCGTCTCATGCAACGCAGCAATCAGTGCGTGTGGGAAGGCTTTGGAGTGGCAATTTAGCCTTCTTCTGTTATCGCATATGGCATCCCGGCATATCCAATGCGACGTAGTCAGCTACAGTTCAGTGATCAGTTCTCTTGAAAAGTGCCACAGATGGCAGCAGGCTCTTCTGCTAGTCCAGGAAATGGCCAGCCTTCAGATTCGCTGCAATACCGTGGCTTGCAGCGCAACGATCAGTGCATGCGAGAAAGCCAAAGAATGGAGACGCGGATTGATGTTGTTTAGTACAGCTGCGACATGCCAGTCAGTCGATACCATTGCCTGCAATGCCATGATAAGTGCCTATGAGAAATCAGCCAAATGGCAGAACGCACTTCTGCTGCTGAGCCGAATGGGGTTCGTCGGCTTGCAGCAGACTGAAGTAACCTACAACTCAGTTGCAAGCGCGTGCCAGAAGGCAGCCGTATGGCAAGCGGCCCTGTCCCAGGTTGACACTGCGCAAAAGTTCGCGCTGTGTGATGACATTACCTTTAATTCAGCCATTAGGGCCTGTGGCGGGGCCACAGTCCTGGCTACGGAAGAAGACCGGGTGCGAGCCATGAACATGTTTTTGCTCATGCGCGGCTGCTTCCTCTGCATGTAGAATGATAATGTAGCCGTACTCAATTATCCCAGGACGCATCGAGCCTGTTGGAATGGGCCTGCATAGCAAACGCCAGCCTGACATGTCTTGTATTGTCTTGTCATGAGCAGTCGTGATGCTCTTCTATTTTGCGTTTGGATGCGGCCAGCGCTGGTCCCCCTGAGTTACTACTCCGGCAGAGTATACATCCCCTTTATACGACGGTAATGCTGCCAGGAAGTCGCTCATGAAGGAGACGTGAATTGCGTCGCATGGTGCCCCGGAGAATCTCAGCGTCCTCCTCAGATTCTTCCATCCCGCAGCAGCATCGCATAGCATCGCCCCTGCGCACAGGCACCTCGGGGTTTCTGTCACATGTGCTGTGTATCAAAATGCCCTGGCAGATCAGGTTTGCTGGCAGGACCTTCCTCGCAACTGCCCGGGCCTTGAGCACGGTGCCCGTCCCTCAATCCGTATGTGCCATTGACACATTCTGTGGTCTCTTGGCTTCAGGCAGGCGACGATGCAGAGGTTGCGGTGTGGGAATTTTCCAACTAAGCTTTCTCGGGCGCGAGATGTGGTCAGCGTGTGATGACATGTAGTCGTAGGTATGCGAGATTATGTGAGTACGCATGCCCTTTCCGCCAGATCTCGCGCAAACCACGAAGGTGATGTAGTGACTGCGTAGTGACTACGTAGTGGTAGGTTGACCCCCAACCCAGACAGCGAGGCATCGGCCCCGAGAACATGCGATTCAGAGGGCATTCGTGGCGTCGACACTCTGTGATCTCAGTCCCAGAGGGTTAAAGCGGCGTTCAGACTTGCCGGAAAGTTTCATTGATAGATGTGATACTTATGGCACTTGACTTCTTGGTGCTTTCATTGTCATCAATGTGCAATGTACCTGTGGCTGGGTTTGAGCAACTTCTCCGGGCATCACGAGGGTTGAAGCGGAAGCAAGTCGCAGTCGGCTGCAACAGCTTGGGCCCATAAGCCTTGCATCAGACGCTTTGTCACTCATGAGTCCTACAGCCTAGATGCCGTCACCTGCGTATTCCGACCTTCGCCTCCGCAGTCAAACGGAGACTAGAATCGACAAGATCCCAGTCTCTCTTTTTTCCCCATACTCATACTTGAACATTGACTCATCCGTCACCTTCATAAACCTTGTCGACGCAATGCTGCGGATTGCCTTCGCATTGCTGTCTTTAGCGAACGCGTGGTGGGACCATGGTCACATGATGGTGGCATCTGGGCGAGATATCCGCCAGAGGCAACATGTTGATTCATGTTGATGCTGTTGTGTTCGGTTCCGAAGATCCTGTACTCAGGCTGAAATCGCCAGGCAGCAGTTGACGTCGGAGCAGCTGACCCACATCAACGAAATCTTGAAGGATTGTGAGTGAGTAGGAATTCCCAGCTGGGTTGCTGGCAACTGCATGAGTCAGTCCTGGCATGAGTGTCAAGAGAGGAGAGGCAGAGAGCTGTAGCACCTGCAGGACTTTTCAATCGACTATCCGGCAGCCTCTGACGTGGTCACGGCAGCAGTGTGGCCAGACCTGATCAAGTGCTCCGGCAGCTTCTGCCACACGGTGAGCCGGGGCACACAAAGAGATTTCAATCGTCCTCCACCTCAGCAACACAGTCCTGTGCAGGAGGTGATTGATAATATGCACATCTTCGACTCCTGGCACTTCAACGACTCTCAGACTGGCATGAGGCGGCATGAGAGGGTCACGCATGCGATGAGATGAGCTCAAAAGAACACTCCTACGGCCCTCTGACTCGTGCTGCAGCCTTTAGAGAGCCAGAGTGTTCACATCATGCTCAAGATAAAGCACTGTTGCAGGATGTTGCGCTGGTGTTGCGATGGCACTTGCAGAGTTGTCTGCTGTAACGCAACCAAATCATCTACTGACTGCTGTCGGCTATCGAATTGCATATCTCACCTCTTGAGCAGAAACCAAACATACCGGCCGGATGAAGGCCGCAACAGGTAATCGTCAGCTCACGCCGCTCATGGACGGCGTCCTTGTTGCCATTCCTCGGTTCCTTCTTCATGAACTGCTGCATGTTTGTTTGCGCACAGGCAGGATGACTTTGGCGAAGTGCCCTCCTTTTTCCTGCCAACGAAATCGAATCGTTAGAGGGGACTGTTACCTGGCCGATTCTGCCTCCCGCGGCCCGGGTGCGGGACCGGATTGTGAAAGGGGCCAGGCGGCGCCCACCACGAGAGTGCCGAAGGGAGGCCACGGTGGAGGCGGCGGAGGAGGAGGAAAGGACGCCAAGAGAAGAAAGAGCGGGGCTGTCCCAAACATAGCGTGAGCTGACGGCAGGATGCGCGAGGGACGGGCCTGCGCCAAGTGTCTCACCACCTACAGCCACTGCGTGTGTCTCGAGAGGCGGATCAGGCTGTGCAATGCATGTGCAATGGACGGGCAGTGGAGGAAGCTACTCCTGATTTTGTCAAGCACATTGTCAGAGACTCGAGTTTCGTGGACCTGCGCTCGTTCACAAGGTGGGAATCACTTTCGTGCAAAAGGCGTGTCAGTCCATCAAAAGTTGTGTCTTTGGTAGCTTTTCCCAAGGTTCTCTAGCATTTTCATTTTGTGATCCGCGGCCACGGGTTTCTGCGAGCAAAGTTCGCACACCGACAGGGCTCTGCCTTTCTGTCAATCTGCCTCGCTGTCGTGAACTCAGCTGAGGGAAGGCCGTACAATCCCGAGAACATGAAGCTTCCAGCTGGCAGCAACAATTGGCAGAACAACCCATCTGCCCTGTACACGATGACATCTGGCTTCATCTCTCTGGGAAGCTTGCTTCTGTTTGCCATACCCTTGTCTTCGAATGTGTTTAGCCTGTAGCCGCTAGTCTCCATGCATGATTCGGAGTCGCCGAGGCAGCTCTAACTCTCGCTTCACACACAACTTCTTCATTCGCTGGCTGCTGCATGTTGTGGGCGACGTCCATCAACCGCTGCACAGTTGTGATGGATACTTTGACAACGACCGTCTTGGGCACTTCCCGTTCAGTGATCTGGGCGGCAACAGGCTCTCCACGGGTTCTCTGCCAAGTTGGAGAAACGGGTAGTGCGGTAGCTCATGGGAGTTTTTTTGTCTACAGTACATAGCTACGCACCTCGCAAGGCTCAAACGTGACAGAACTGGAAGCGAGCAGTCTCCGCAGGATCCCCATTGAAAGTCCGTGTGCGAACAACCTGCACGCCTACTGGGACTCTGCGGGTTGCAGCTATGTTGTCAACTGGTCGCCGCAGATAGACGCAGCTGGGCCCTCAGGTACAGGACCTCAGGTGGTTCGTGTTTGCCACGATGCAGCAATATCAGACATTGTCCACACAAGAGGTTGCCTCCAGTCTGTTTGCTTGCGGTTTGCATCCATGCCTCGAAGGTTTGACAAGAGGCAGCTCTCAAGGCAAAGAAGAATGAAACTAGCTTGTAGTGGCTATGATAGAGTCAGAATTTTAGAGCGAAGCGCGACGTGAGAGCTGCTTGAGTGCATGGGGGACCGGCAGCGAAGTTCCTCTTGTTTTTTTGGCCGAACGTGGTACTGGCTCCTGAGCTCTCCTGGAACCAAAGGACTGACCTTGTGGCTCCTGTGTGTTTGCAAGCATAAGACGAAAAAACAGATCAATAGCAGACACAAGAAGCAAGGGCTGAACAAAACATACAACAAACGGTTCCGTGAACGAGAGTGCCCTCAAACTCGCATGTCTGTACTCCCCATTCCTGTGTCAATGTGGTTGACCCGCGCACGCGCAACACCGTCTCGATCATTCAAATTCGTTTCAGTGTATGGCAAGACCGATCTTCTACTGTACATTAGATCACGCAAGTCGGATGAGGTAGATGCATTTCGAGAGAGTACAACAACTTGCTCATGCACTCGTGTAGAACAACCGCGGCGAATTCAGCACCAAGAAGTGTCGGACCTCCGGCACAGCAGCCAAACATGTGCAGACATGTGAATGTTGACATATGTTGATATCGTCAGCTCGTACCAGGCAGGTGTGAGTTAGCCTCTTTGTAGGATGCCAGTCTGAGTATTGGTCCTCCCCAACTCTCCTCGTCACAGAAGTGCTGTGGGAGATGTAGAAGAATCGGTTGTTTTAAGTTGGAGTCCACAGGGTGAGCTTCTTCTCGGGTTTGCTGTCTTTTTCTCAACGCCCCGTGTGCTTGCACGAATTTCGTCAGTTGCACATGCATGTCGCCTGAAGCCCAGCCAAAAAGCTTCGGCAGCCTGGTGCAGACCCAGGTACGCAAGCAGCTAACAGCAAACGCAACTGCCCTGGTGGCCAAGTATCCGAAAACGTCCCCTGCTTTCGCCGGCCGCTATGTCGAGGATGAGTTGCATGACTGCTGGAATGCTCTGCAACTTAACTCGACTTAGCAAAATCTGGAGCAGGTCCATGTGTTTACGCGTGTGAGTTGCGCTCCACGGCGAGTTGTGTTTGACTGCAAACCATGCCCGAGACAGGCTGGCCGGACGTGCTGCCACTGTCAAGCCGTTCGACGTTTGCAAGCAAGTATTCTTTTCGTGGTCTAACGACACGTTCAACAATGGCGTTGAGCGAGCGTACACTGGCATTACACGAGAGTCACCCATTCCGGATGATTATGCAGCGTGGGTGAAGGCTGGAGCACGGTACATGTTGCTCCTCTGCATTCCAACCACAGTCCGTCAGCATAAGCTTTGCATTTTGGAATGTGTCTATCTATTGCAGCAGGAGTTTTCTGAGCAGCAGTTCGTTCTTGCAGGGTACCGCCTTGGAGGCCGGCGTGTCTTGGCCGCTGTGTCGCCCAAATCCGATTGAACAGTCTTGTAGTTCGAAAGGACTCCTGCAACTCGTTGCATCACGATCGGTGATGTCAAGTCCAGGAGCCCCACACCCGCAGCTTGACTCAGACCTGAGCTCCGGTTCTGTGCTTTTGCAGTGCGGCACCAAGGCCAGGACAATGGACGCTCGCCGCGAAGCTTTTTGCAATACTTTCCCTGTTGCTGGCGGTTCTTGTAGCTATGTTGCTACGGTCAGTCCTCAAGTTGCGCCGGAACCTCGTTGAAGTCTCCTTAGTTGAGGGCATCGACCCACACGTCTAGGGCCTAGGGCATGCTTGCGCGTGGGGAGGAGTCGGAATCTTCCATGCTACTTTCACGCCCCCCCCCATTGCGGTTCCCGTTTAAATTGTGTGCCAACGGGCATCTACGGCTTGCTTGGAGTTGAGATGCATGCGCGACGAAAAGGAGTTGGTCCGCCGACTTGGATAAAGACAGCAGCTGCAGCGTTTCAAGATGCTTCGAATTTACGCAACAGTAATGTAGCTTTTGTGGCATCGTTCAGACTGATGACGGCTTGTGGCTTCATCAAAGAGCACAGTTTTGGTTTCGTAGGGGGGCAGCAGAAAGCCACTTGCACAATCTTTGGCAGCTCCTCGCTCTTTTCCAAGAGGTTGATATGTAGTTGCGAACCAGGTCTGCATGGTGGCTGCAACCTGGTCCATGAATCACATGGTTCTCGAGACAAGCCCCAGATGTCCTCGCCTTCTGCAAAGGAGACTCGATAACTACTAACATGTGCTTTATGACCGGGAGATGTTCACAACCAGTCCCTGCCCCCAACTCTCCAGCACTTCTTCGCTGTCCATGGGAATTTGGAGCACGTTGGTTTCTCGACTCACCTGGCCATGGCCGGCTGCTTGGTTCGTGAGGGAGGGGCTTAGGGCATTTTGGGTGCAAGGTTTAGGGTTTAGATCAGCGTCTCGAGACGCTTGACGGGACAAGACACTGACGTGTTTCTGGGACATGTGTTTTTATTGTATTTTTTTTTCGGGCCCGGGGATGGCTGGTCGTGTACTGTGTTGAGATTCCGAGGGGTTTATTGTTTAGCATTGGGGCTTGAGACGCACGGGGTTTGGGCCAGGCCTCGGCACAGGAGGCCAGCGTGCTGCATACAGCATGTTTCGTATGCAGTCCTCGAAAATCTGTCTTGGCACTGTGTATTGCGTCTAGGTCTCAGAAGAGACTAGTTCTTCTTTTTTCAACCCGAGTTGCCATCGAGGTTGGAGTGGCGATACATTGCCAGGATAGTCCTCATGAAACCTGACATGTAGTGCTGAACGAGCTCTGGGGAAACTCGTTCAGCCGAACAGGAGCCCGAAGCTCCAAAGCCTTCGAACCCAAGCTTCACATGAACTCGAAACTCAAGATTGCCATGCCAACTATCCGCAAAAAGTCCAAGCCAAGGCTGCGCGCGTGGTGCGAGTATAGCATAGCATCGCGGCAGTCGCAGCTTTCTCCAATGCCCAGCTTGTCATCTCAGAGGACCAGAGATGCTGACCGCCACAGTTTCTGTCCCACAAGAGGCCATGAAACCCCAAACTTACGCGAGACAAGACGCGCTTGGCCTGGCTTACAGGAGCTGGCCGTCCGCTCACCTCTGCAAGCACGTTCGAGGTTAGCGAGTTGGAGAACTCACTCCGGAGCCTCGGAGCTTTTTCGGCTTCAGGGTTTGTAAGAAATTTGGGCTCTATGAGGGGTTCCCAAATCTTTGGGAATGGGTTTGGACACTGTTTGGACCTCAGGGTGCTTAAGAAAGTAAATCGCAGGATCTAACCGCAAAGCCTGTGGTTACTTGCGGTTTAGAGTTTGGGGTTTCGGGATTCGAGCTCTGAGGCTTACTCAACCCGGGCCGAGTAAAACCCGAGCGTTTGCACAGAAGACATTCCCGGTGTAGTTGCAAGGACCCAGTGCTAGACGCACCTCAGTTTGAGCAGGAGGAATGTTTGGAGCTTTAACACAAAAACTCTACACTCACTGAATACTAGGAAAGGTTGGTTGAAGCTTTCGGGGTTTCAGGCTTTCCGGCCATAGATGTCCATAACATTGGTTAGAATCTACCGGTGCAACCTTTTCATCTGAAGAATCTTGAAGAATCTCGCTAGGACATCGTTGCTCCAAAGGCCTTGGATCCGAAAGCCAGCCGCGAGTGAGGGAACGAGGGAGTTTCGCCCAGCACAAACTCATGCTCCTCCGAGACAATAAAACGCAGTCGCACTAGGTACTTTGGGCTGCGCAAGCTTGAGCGGGCAAGACAGTGTATGGATTTCTCATCTCGACCGTCCGAGAGCATCACTGAACACAACAAAGCAATCCACCGATGTGGGGAGCAGTGGACAGGAGCTCTCCAGCTTCTTCAAGAAACCGAAAGACGGAGGTTTCGGCGCGATGTGGTAACATGCAACTCAGCACTGGGTACATTAGAGAAGGCCTGTCAGTGGCAGCGTGCCGTCCAAGCTGTCGCTGACATTCGAAAGCATCGCCTAGAGCGCAACTTGGTGACTTTTTCGACCATGGTCAGTTCGCACAGAGGACGTGGATCCTGGCCAGATGCTGTGCTGCTTCTGTGCGACATTGAGAGCTGTCAACTAGAAGTGAATTCAGTGACATGCAACGCTGTGGTTGCTGTTCTGGAGAGGACCTCGCAGTGGTCACGGGCTGTAAGCTTGCTGTATACCATGCAGGCCACACGCACTCAGGCAACGATTGTTACGCTCAACTCCTTGATTAGCTCCTTTGGAAGGGCCGCAGAAAGTTCGAAAGCTTTGCTTATGACACAGAGTATATGTAAGCTGCACCTGCAGCCTACCATTGTCACATACAGTTCGGCAGTCAGTGCGTGTGAAGCTGCCTCGGATTGGAAGACAGGCCTGGAGATGCTCAATGCAGCCCACAGAGAGTGGCTGCAGTTGAATGTCATTCTTTACAGTGCCACCATAAGTGCGTGTGGCAAGTCTGCAATGTGGCTGCATGCTTTGCAGCTGCTTCGGGAGATGGAAGTCATTAGTTTAGAGCCAAACACGATCACTTACAGCTCGGCAAGTACAGCTTGTGAGAGAGCTGCTCAATGGCAGCGTGCACTGCTCCTGCTCGACGAGATGGAGCGCATTCAGGTAGTGCCGGATGTGATCGTGTATAATGCTACAATAAGTGCCTGTGAAAAAGTTGGACATTGGCGGATGGCCCTGTACCTAATGAGTGATGCGTTTTCACGCAAGCAGCTCTTGCCAAACACAGTGACGTACAACGCAGTATTGGCAGCATATGAGAAATCAAGCCGTTGGAAAACCTCCACCTGGCATCTGAACCAGATGAAGCAACAGCAGCTTCAACTGGATGTCATCACATACAATTCGGTCATCTCTGCCTGTGAAAAGAACTCTGAATGGCAGTATGCTGTGTACATGTTGCACCAGCTTTGCACAGTGCATCTCGATCCGTCCCTTATAACATACAACGCATGCATCAGCGCATGCGAAAAAGGCGAGGAGTGGCAGCTTGCCTTGGAACTTCTGAAGGAGGTAGAGCTGGGGCGCCTGCAAGCTGATATCATCACCTACAACTCGACCATCAGTGCATGTCAGAAGGCTGCACAATGGCAGCTAGCTCTGGCCCTCCTGGACCAGCTGACATTTCTCCACGTTCGGCAGGACGTCATTACGCATAATTCAACCATGAGTGCATGTGAGAGAGCCGCGCAGTGGCAGCAATCCATGGCTCTTCTCAGCAATACATGGCGTCTTGCGGGTCGCAATGACGAAATATCGTTTAATGTTGCCATCACTGCATGTTGGACTGCGATTGCCGCTGTGCAAAAGTCGATTGGCCCCACATGATTTTGTGATGCATCGATGTCAACTGATGATTACAGGGGCTTCACTGCATGCAGAGTTGGCGTGAGAATGCAAATGGCTTGAGCAGAAAGACTTGTCGCATAGTTCATTGGGAAGGGCTGCGGCAGAAGCGATCAACTTCGATCAACTGGCCAATTTGCATAGGTCTTGTATGGGGTGCTAGTTCGCATGGCTCGTGATCTCAAGAATCGCTGACTTCAACAAACTATTCAATGGTAATTGCATTGGCACTGTGGGTTCAAGACACTATGAGATTATTGCGCTGCTACATATCACTAGTCCGCATCTTCGAAGCGAACCTTCCAAGCCTCATTCGGTGAAGATGTTGATGGAATCGAAGATGACGGAGGCCCACCGGGGTTATTCTTATTTAGTGTGGCTCGGAAAAGGCAATCACTACAAAAGAAGGGGGACGCGTCACATCATGCCGCTTCTAACACCACTAACCTCTGGTTGAGTCCGTTCATGCCCCATCATGCCCCTGCAAGCCCTGTCGGCCACGGTTTGATCCGTAGGCGCTTCGACTCCCCCAGTCAAAAACATGCACCTTCGTTGAATAATCCGAACCAGCGAAGCATGTCTGGTTGCCATGTTGCGATTTGGCTTGCTTGGCTTTGCTGGATACTGGCGGAGAAGGTGGAAGTACCGGAAGCACGTGTGCCATGTGTTTTCCCCTTCTGCAGCTTCAGATGTTTCGACGGTATCCTGGGCCAGCCGAACCGGACCGTTTTTGCACCAAACATTACCCGGGTTGAACTGGAAAGTTTACCGGGGACATATATGTATCCGATTGGCTTTGCTATTCCCGAGGAAATGTTAGTGCCCTGTTTGCCGGAAAAGTACTGGCCCCTGGCGCTTTCTGATGGAAGGAGAATACATGCAAATAAGGAGTACCAGTTCCAATTCTACCAGGAGCAAGAGTATCGCCGGCAGTACCGGCATGCCTACTTTGGTATCACCCGCAAGAAGTTTGGATATGATTGCCTGCGGCACTACGAGATCATTGCAAACGGAGCAATTCCGCTTTTCCTGAGCCTCGGCGATTTGCCGGAGAGGGCGCTGCCTTTCCTACCTCGAGACTTTCTCCACAAGGCTTGGGGCTTACTGGGAAACCGAAGCCTTCAGGCATTGCAGGCCAAACCGGCAAAGTCTTTCAAACTTCGTCATGGCGAAATGATAAACTACTACACTCTCCTTGCTGATCTGATGAGCTACGCACGGCGCCATTTGACCACCAAAGCCATGGCCATTTACGTTTTTGAAACCGTCCGGGCTGTCTCGGGCAGGAAGGTAGAAACCGAGCTTTGTCCCAAAAGGATTCTTTTTCTGTCTGGGCGGATCTACCCTGACTACCAAAGGGACATGCTCTTGCATGGCCTCAAAAAGCTGTGTCCTTTAGTGGTAGACTTCCCGCGCGTCGATCACATGTATGGCCCCAACCCCAGAATCCGGCCAGACCCAGTGCACGGCAACTGGCAGAAGAGCAGAGGAGACTTGCATAGCCGTGGCTTCACCTACTCCATGACCCTGGACTTTGATCTGGGCCGCGTTGATCGTTCTGACGTTCGCTCGAAAATCCTTGAACACTATTACGAAATGGTGATTTTTGGGAGCATTTACAGAAACCCCGCGTATTTTCAAGAGGTTCAAAGCGTTTACACGCCATCAGAAATCGTTTTCATTGATGGCGAGGACTTACACCTCCGTAGCCCGAATGAGCTGGCCCAGTCTGGTGTCCTGTTTCGGCGAGAGCTGGTTCTCGGTGAAAAGGTGTGGTAAAACTGTGCAGCAACTATGCCAGATAGTCAAAAGTTGGCTGGCCTGGAGACGAACGTAGGGTTCCACGACGACCACGGAGGAAGCGGAGGCACTTCGAGGAGACCACATCGCCATCCACGCCGACTTGCCACCGACACATCTTACGTTGACCCGACAGTGCTGTTGCTTTTCCTTTGCAGGTTTAATTACCTCTGGCGGTGATATTTCTGGCCTTTGCGGTTGCACAAAGCCGGATCAGTATTTTGTAGCTCGGTTTTTCCAGTCTCGCGAACCTTCTGAGGCACGCACGCCCAGTGCCCACGGAGATTCCGGATACTTGTGGTGCTTTATGGGTGCCGGAGGGAAAGTGATAAAATGCTCCTCTTCACAGCCAGCGAACTATACTTCTAAACGGCCGATTGTCAGCTATCCCGGTTGTCTGACTATGGACCTTGAGCCTGTGCTGACTGGCTTTGCGAGGCCCCAGGCATTATAGGAATGAGCCAGAGCTAATCAGACCGCAGGGAAGCATGCATCAAACAGCCAATTACTGCAAACACACGGTGACACACAGTAGTCCTTTGCGCAATAGAACAGCCCACCTCGTAGAAAGAAAACGTCGGAAATCGCACATCTCAGCGGTTTGGCACCATGGTTGGCGCAGGCCAGTCGTTGCTGAGTGGTGTGATGATGAGCTATGGAAGCTCCTAGATTCTGTTGGCCGTTTGCAGGACCTCGAGTGCTCTCCGAGGAAATCCCTCAAGCGACTGGCTCTCAGCTGTTTCCTGCACTGCTCGGAGCGTCGGGCTAAAGCAGAAGCTATTCTGGAGGCCCGAAGAGATATGTGGTGAGCTCGACCTGTCTCGCCCCCTTGGCGGCGCACTATGGTGGAACTCCATGCTATGGAAGCTCGCCTGCATCGAGTAGGCCTCAACCTCACTCCGCTGCATTGCGTTGCGCTGGAGTGGCACCCGAGGACCAACTTTCCTCCTGTGGCGATGTTCAGCAGCAAGGACTTCCAGGAGGTCCAGTTCAGTCTTCGCTGTCTTTGACATGTCCTGAGCTAACCATGGCATCCGGCCGCACAGGGGAAGAGGTCTGATTTCTTTGCGAGCCTGTCAGCGCTGAACACCGACAGCAGGTCTGATGCTCATCAATGCTCAGCACGAGGGTTTGTAACCCCCGACAGTTGACTTAATTCTGCAGCTGCGATTGATTCACAGGCCCCTACTGAAAGATCATTCAGGAGTTGATCGAACTTGCTCTCACTCTGGACGTGCTCATACAAGATGTAGGTATAGGAGAACTAGCATGCAGCGCAAGCGCAGCACGGTCCATTCACTGTTAACTATTAGGTGGTCCGTCATTGGCACGAGAATTCCCATCAAGCCCCACATCCCTTCCCTGACCGGGTCTAAAGTCTTGAATGCGATTGGGCACACATTGGCACATGGCATGGTGCGTGGTGCCTGTGCCCTCGAGGCTTAGCGAGCAGTACGTCACGTTCACGGCAGCTCGACATGCCCAGAGCTGAGTTGAACCATGTTGAAACCTGCTAGTCATGGAGAACTGGTCAGTGTGTTCTATAGTTGCACTAGGATTTGTGCACGTCGCGGCCTGTTCCCGAGAAGAACTGCCGCCTAACCGCCTGGGCCTGACATCACAGATGCGAGCTCGGGAGGGAGATGGAAAGAAAGATCTTAGCAACGCAATGACCGCAAGTCCATGGGCAAGTAAGTAAAGCCACTGAAATGCCAAAACTTTTAGAGGCTCTCCAAGAAGTTCGTCCTTGACTCAGGTTGAGTGCATGCAATACGAGGGCGTTCGTGAGCTTGCCTCAGCCTGCTGCATGTCGCAGACCGTTGCATGATTTGGCCCATGCTCCCCGGTTCTTGGCCAAGGACTGCACGTGGAACTTTCCGCTGCAAGACTACATCCCTAAGCGTGACAATCACGGTGTGCCAGATGTTCAGGCAGGGAACTCCCCTCGCGTCCCTTTGTCCTGGACAAGTCCTCCCGCTGCAGTCGTTCCCACAGGCGCGCAGGTTCTGGGACAACAACGTTGTCCACATGGGCCTCAACGCAGAGGAGCATCTGCACAGAGCCGCGAGCATGCGAGGCATGACTCCTCAACATACCTGAACTGCCTGCTCTAAGATTGCTTTGGCCTCGATTGAACTAGGACCAGGATCCACCAGTGGGCCAATCAGTTGTAAGACAGTGTTCATGCGTTCGAAACCGACATTCCGGCAAGAGACCTGGCCGCGCAGACTTTTGCAACCGGATGTTCTCAAAAGGGCACCCGTGGCATCCTGTGGAGATGGCACCACGTGCTTTGCCACACTGTAATGCTGCTGTCATTTGCCTCGCAATGCCTGTTTGCACACTTTCGATGTCTTTCCAGGCATGGTGATTGAGACTGCCCCCAATGTGGCTTGCCACATGTTGCTGCTTCAGGAGTTCTCCGAAAAAGTGATGCCGGTTGGCGGCATCGAGGTCGCTCACCTTTCCGCGATAGAAAGACGTGCAGTTAACGCCTGCCATGCACACCCAAACGCGCGAAAAGGCGGAGATTCGCATCGCGGACTTTGCCGGAAACCCCACCTGGGGCTCCTTGCTGGCACAATACGGTTTCGGTGAACCGGGGTCAGCACCATCCGTTCCGCGCAATTACAGCTGCAACCCGTCTCCCCAGCATTCAGCTAGTCCGCTGCCGGCGAAAGCCACAGGAAGCGACGAGATCACGTTATGCTGAAAGATGCCCGTCTCAGGATACTACCCATGCGTCATGCGCCAGAACCTCAGGACACGTGCTGCCTTGATCCTAGAATTCTGGCACAAGACTGGCGCCAGGGCCGGGTTTGTCGCTGAAGAAGGGCCTTTGTTTGACTGCACTTCAGCTTGGCTGTTCCGGAGTGTGCAAAGAGAAACAAGACAGATATTGAGTCCCTGATATTGTGTTGTCACAGGAACCCCATTCCCGCCTCTCCTACCCTGTCCGGTGGGGCGGCTCAGGCATCGCCGGCTGGCCCTTCCGGCTGCGAAAAATCGGGACCTTTGAAGGATATGGGAAGGCGGGCGAACAGGCTTCAGGTCGCTCCAAATGCAGTAAAATCGTCTTGCCTTTGGCCTCAGAATGGACACCATGAGCTGAACATTGGCTTGATCCTTAGAAATGAGGGTAGACATGAAAGCGCCGTGTCAGATTGGAGTGCCTCAGCAAAGATGTTTGGCGTGAGGTCTTCATTACTTCGAGCAGGATAAGCTTTGGAACTTGCTGGAAGGCAAGCTGTTGCGCTCACCTCCGTGCCAGAAGAAGTAGTACGATGCTTTGAGACTCCGAGGTCCCGCCAGCTTGGCCGCAACGGGGCGGGATCCTTTGTTGCTTCGGTGTGGACTAGATGCTGTGTGGTGCGGCTCTGCATATTGGCCTTCTAAATGCTTCGTGCACCGCGAAAGAGTTTTAAACCGTCAACGAGGCCCGGGCAAACTATGGCAATCCAACCAAACCAACGCCGCGGCTTCAAGTTCTATGCTTCGGCCTTGGACCTTTGCGGGAGAGCGCTGCACTGCCCGAATTCGGGTGGAGTGAGCAATAAACCCACGAAGGAAGAGTGGGGAGTGAGACATGTTTCTCAGGCCGCCTCTAGACCCTTTCGGAGCCCGGTTTCGGGCCACATCTGCGCACAAGGCAATGCTCACCGACCTAGACTGGTTGGGGCCCAACCTGAACGGCAAGAAGCATGACGACCCAGAGGCAGAGGGGCCTTCTTGCGATGCCATTCCATGGAGCCAGCGCCAGGTACCGCAGGAGAAGGGCTACGTTTGGTTCACTGTAGAGGAGACCATAGCGGCTCCCGCAACCTCCGGCAGTTCAATAGGAAAGGCTGCGGGAGACTCAGACCACGGATTTCTAAAGTACCTTGTCCACGCGCGAAGTGCCTAAGGTCCGTATCAAGTTGCTGGACGAAGGCATCATTCCGGCATGGCTTGATCTGCACTACCTGCAGGTGTTTGCAGGCCAGGAGCTCAGATCCAGAATTTGGCCACCTTTCGTGACAAAGAAGATGACATGAGCAAAGTGGGACTACCCTGACCTGTCCACAAGCACCCGTGGCTTCGCATCTTTCACTCTCTAGGCAACCTCTGCGTCCGCCTGGCTCAGGTGGTGTCCCTCTAGGCTTTTTCAGCCAGGCAGATGTGGACCCGGAGTCTGAGGGCACAGCTTTAGCTTGGATCTGAGACATCCGGACGTTCAAGCTTGGCAGCACACGCCCTGCACATCTGGCGAAGGAAGACGGGCCGCAAAGCTATGTGGTCGGCGGAGGAACGCAAAGTCTTGGCAAGGCAGAAAGACAGGGCATGACATGTGCGCTGCTCCGCAGCCAGTATCAGCCAGCCATCATACCGTTGGAGGGTAGTTACAGGTGCAGGTGCTTCGAACGTCTTCATACCGGCGTGTGGTGGCACAAAACGCGTGCAGCCGCATCGTCTTTAAGGACTCCGGCACTGCGCGGCATGCTGCAGACCCACTGCTCAGAAGTGCGGCCCTGCCGCTCCTACGGGTGCAGGACCCCTTGGAAGCCCAGGCCAATGATATCGTGGACATGGGCAGTACTCTAAGAGCTGAGAAACGTTGAGAAATCCATGCTTTGTCACCGTTCATTCCGTATAGTCGGGGCTGAGGTTGGGCCATCTTTGACTGCTGCTACAAAGGCTATCGGTTTCGAAGCTCTTTGCAATTTGGTTGTTCATGCCTGCGAGGTGCGACCATCCGGGTGGGGAAGCATGCAGGAAAGTGGGCCGAAGATGCAGGTGCAGACCGTGGAATGGTGGATTTCAAGGCGGTGCACGAGCGATTCCTTGAAGGGAAGGCTAGCTGAGATCCTGAAACAATCTGTTAAAGGCCTCTGGACCACCGCCGCTGTGCCACGGAGAGTACAAGGACTCGGCATGGCCTGGGCAGATTCGCAGACCCGGCGTTGCATCGCGAACTATCACAGGACAAGGTGACAATTCAGGCGCCCCGCTCTGATTACCTCTTCGAGCGACGCTTAGTCAAGTGAGGCCCAGAGCAGCTGTGCGAATTCACCAAATTGGGGGTTGGAGCGGTTGTGCGTGCTGCATGGCTCGACTCACTCCCAGCTGTCAGAAACCCTGGCTTGCGCTAATCAGAGCGGATACTTGACCGCAGGGCAGGCGAAGCCTTGCTGCTCAAGGATTTGCAAAGTCTTCCGGGTCCGAACACGTGGACTCTCTTCCTTGCATATGAAGTAGGATGAGTTTATTGGTTGTAGTAGTGTATATGGTGTGTTTGTTCTTACGAGCTAAAAACCTCACAGCCATCTTGCACGCTACAGATGAGGGCAATGCTGAGGGTTCTCCTTGGTTCCTGTCGAAGAGAATCCAACGGCTAGAACCAACTCGCTGACGAGCTGCTGCCGTTGGTAAAGAGCTTCTTCGTGCCCGCCTTTCCTGTTCCTACAGATAGTGACAGGTTACCGCGCGTGAGTGTTTCTGATCGGAGGTAGAGGTTGAGTTGTGGTCATCTTCGTCGGCGGAACTCAACGAACTGCCATCGTTGTCTTCGGCTCAAGGGAGCAGTGAGAAGTGGAGAAATGCAAGAAACAATCACGGGCACAGAGTCTTCATACGACCCGCCCTGGTGTTTGGTGATTGTACTAGCTTCTGCAGCTGCGTTTACTATCAAGACAGGGCCGCTTTGATGGTGTAGGAGTGCACACAGCAGTCTGCGCAGCTCCCTGTAATCATAAGAGCAGGCCAGTTTGTTTGTTTGTTTGAATCGCATAAAGGTCAGAAATAGAACTTGTTGACATGTTCGTCCAAGCAAGGAGAGCTTGGCGTCACAAGTTTAGCGATTGCAAAAGGACCCACAGCCATTCGCCCCAGCACCTGCTGTCACACCTCCCCCCAAACTGGGTTATTTTGCGGCACCATGGCGGATCCAACAGGTCTGCTGCCTAGCACAGGCTGCAAGCTCTTCTTGTCTCACATCGTGCGAGACAACTGTTTGTCACAGCTCGGAGCTGCTTGTTGGAGGATGCAAACCATTGCGGGTTCACCTCATCATTTACCTCATCATACGACTCACATGCCAGATCACAGCAAGCAGAAGTGCCCGAGCTTTGCCTCGGTAAGTCAACGTGGGACAGATCTTTAGTGCAAAACAGTTCCCGTTGCTGGACACCTCTATGCCTTCAGTATGACCTGTGCCATTCCTGAAGGTGTGGATAACACATCCGCCGATGATCTGCTTATGCAGATGGCAGGGCCCAGAGCTGGATGAATTCGGTGCACGCACCTTGTGTCTGCAAGACTCAGGTCGGCAAAGCCAAGGTGGGAGAAGGCACCAAATTTGAAAGTCTTTCGAGTCTCTCTTCTCCCTGCTTGGTCCCTCCACCCCCTCCCATCTCCCGCTTTTGCTCCTTGTAAAGAGCGGAAGCTTCATGGCACCTGAGATGACAAGCAGGGAAATCAGCTTTTGCGCTGGTGGCAGGCGAAGCTGGCGCTGCGCCTGAACCGGCCCCGGGCGACGACAAAGAAAACAAAGAGAACAACGAAGGTGGTGAGAACAAGGCTGGCTGGCTGGGTTTGGAGTTGGCTTGACTCCGTTTCAGTCCGCTGAGTTCAGCCGGCTGGCATCAAGATGGACATGGAAGATAAGCTCCGACCAAATCACAAGCCTGATCGCTGCAACTGGTGTAGAATCAAGTACATAAGAAGTGAAAGACTCTTTTCAGCCAATTAGGTCTGGGACTTTCTACATGTGCATGTGTGTACCAGACCGTGGTTGTCAGCGTTGTCAATACTGGCCCAAGCAACTAGATCAAGCAAGAGGACATGTCGACATTGGGCTCACGATTGCGGGCATTCAACATGAGCTGATGCATCTGAACGAGCATTGAAACGAAGATGCCTTCACATCAAGGGCTTGCGTAGAATCTTTTGCTTCGGCCGAAGTGGCTATCGATGCCCCAATGTAAAGACTGTCCGGATGCCGCCTGCAGCTGCTGCTTGCTGGAGCTGCCGCCCCTTCCCTCGTGCTTGGGGCCAGCTGTGTGGACAAATCGCGAGGTGCCACCGCAGGAGCAGGGCACGCATTTTTTCCAAAGATGCTTTTGCACAGTCGAACCCTGTCAACACACTTGTGTGCCCGTAGGCATCAAGCCTGAGAGGATTGGGGCATGACAGCCACCCAATTCCGCGAGCAACTTCTCCTGCACCAAGTCGGTACACAGTTCCGTGCGCGTAAGCTCATAAGAAGAGAACACTGCGAACGAGATGACCAACCATACGACGGCATCGGAAGAATCGACTTGCCTCAGGCAGAGCACTCAATGCTATAAGATTCTCCGCACCATCATTGCCTTGTCAGAGGTTTCTGTCTGAATGCCGACAGACCGCGCTGTGGCCGTGGATAAAGGAGATGCGGAATGTCGTGACGTTATATGACACCCGGCAGTGCAAGCATTATTGGCTGAGCTATGTAAGTGATATGAATCATGGCGGGGACCTTGTCGGCCGAAGGCTTGAGAGCTCCGCTGCATGTGCAAGTCCCGCAATACAAGTAGGCCGACAGATTGTTCAGCATGGGCCCTGTAAAGTTGCAACACTTTCTGCGTGGAATGTGCATCAAAAGCTAAATGCACCCGCCGGTGACATGCATGCCCTATGCATTCACCGAAGGAGCGACTCCTCGCCGTTTAAGACCGCGTAACGAGGCTCCTTGTTTCTATGCGAGTGTTTGCATCTTTCCCAGGACATTATCCAGCAGCTTGTGAAGCCATGGACTCGTGGCACGGGTTGTGGAATTGCCCTGCTTATGAACCACCAAACACCGTGCTACTCGGCAGCACCCGCCTTGCTGAATGTGTAACTCTGCTTAGTGACAAGTTTCAAGTTCAACGGAGGTCGGGCAACGTTGATGATCTCCCACACGTGGGCAGAATTTTGACTGCAATCCTGTCGAACTTGAGATGGAAGGTGCAGTAGCCTAAGCCTAGATGCAGACCGTAGTTGAAACGGATCTGAGCACGATCACTATGATTTTGGCGAAATTCGAAGTCGTGCTCCTGCTGCAGGGCCGTGCATGCCGAAAATCCGTACACACTCTCGTACACAGGGAAGGCAAAAAAAGGCGTTGAACGAGAAGAGGGAGGGCGTCGCCGCGAGCCCGGGTCAAGAAACCGGAGACAGAGCGAGACCACCTCATGGCCGACCTCTTGCCGCGTTTCCTGTCGCCGCCTGGCAAATTCAGGGCGCGATCCGCTTGCAAACGAAACGGCCCGGTTGAAAAAGCCGCCACTCAGACACCAGTCGGACTATCAAGCAGTAGTGACGACAATAGCACGGCCACTCGTTCGAAGAGAGGTCCGGCCAAAATGGATGAACAAGGCAGGGATCCACGCAGCCCGGTCGGTGTCGAGCCGGTCTTGTGCACAGCAACGGCACGTCCATACGCCTCCAATCGCCTCCAGCTTTTGGGACCCCAGGCCTTGTTGCAGCGTCCTTTTTTTGGGGCAGCCAGATTAAGGCGGACTCTTGCTCTTGAAGTGGGCTAGTTCCCTTTATTATTTCGCTGTTGACCGTGTGCAAGGAGGACATGGACGAGTGTGAGGAAGCTATCGTGGACTATTGCTTGGAAGTCACTTCCGGGCTCTCCACCAGCATTTGGTTCTGCGGATTTGCCCAATACCAGGCAGGAGATGAGCCTGGCGATGTGGGGCCGAGCATCAGTGAGCAGCTCAAGCTGGATCCTTTCGGATCTGTGATTCGACACACGACTCCGGCTCTTGGTATGGTGGTGGTTCACACATCATCTGCCCGAGTCTATGAGCGTCTATGGAGTCCTGGCAGAAATTTACCACGCCTTTGTAAATTCATGGTTCTAGGACCTTTGGGTTAGCCGCAGCTGCGCTGAGGGCAAAAGCATCTGTTTGATTCCGAAGGTGCTGAAACTACTGAAGTCAGTCAAGGTGTGTGTATGAGATTGCAGAAGCCACGCGCCTCGAATCCAAAGCCGCTTGGTTGCAATATTTCTGCTTTGTGTAATTAAATGGGTGAGGCGTGGAAGCTTCCGACAAGAGTTTCGTGACTTCATGCGTCCACGAAGTAACCTCGAAATCAGGTTGGCATCGCCTTCTCTGAGCGTTACCTGAATCAGCGCCAGTCATCTTTAGTCGAGCTGCTAAAAGCTCGGACTGACAGCGCCGTGTGCAGCAATCCTGCCGATGCCGAGATGATCCGGTCACGTATTCAGGACCTGGGAGGCGGCAGGGTACTCATTGATTGGATTTCATGTGTTGGGGTTTAGGGTTTAGGGTTTTCGTATTGACAAAGGTTGTGCCTGGCTGTGTCAGGCTTCCGTGCCCTGGACTGGAAGATCTTCTCCTTCCGACTGCAATCCCTTCGGGCTGTGCTGGCCAAGAAGGCGGGCGCCGTAACAAATCATGTTGTATCAGTTGTCATACCATATATATATATATATATATTTATTTATTTATTTAATATGTATGTGTATGCATATGTATCTGTATATGTATATGTATATAGCATATAGTGTACTATGGTATATATTATGTATATTATATTATATTATATTATACTATAATATATTATATTATATTATATTATATTATATTATATTATATGAAATTATACATTACATACTGTACTATTCTGTCATATCGCGCTACAACATAAAAGCACTTTGTGCCACTGATACGGTGGTTGCTACATTGTTCCCATGCAAACTGTTCGGGGTGAGCCTGTGGGCCACGCGGGGCGCTTCCGGCCATGGGGTTCCAATGCAATGGTCAGAAAATGGCAGCCTTCTGAAACATCTACCATAAGGTGGCTCAACTCAGCGTTCGAGAATCAGTGGGCTCACTAGGACGGGGCGGCATTTTTCACTGTGCATCCACCTCGGCAAACTCGGGTGGTCTTATGGTGTCCCCGCCGTGGATGGCTGGCCGAGTGCCAGGATACAATCTGCCTGTGCCATGTCAGACCACGCCACATCACAACCCACATCAACCAAGGCCACGAGTGCCCACGACACAGTCCGCAGGATTCATATAAATGTTTCGGCATTGCATTTGGATGTGTGCCTTGCAGAAGATTTCGGTTTGTTCGTTGCTGCTTCCTGCAAACATTTTCTTTCGCCCAGTGTTGTCCATCAGGACCCAAATTGGCAGGACATGCTGGCTGATGAGTTGCAACGTGCAGAAGAAGAGCTGAACAATTGGTCTCTGTTCGGACGCTCAAAGAATCCCGGCAGGCTTCCGTCCGAAGTTTTGGAGGAAGAATTGGTTCTGAGGTCCTTTGACTCCGCGGCAAAGTTTGCAAGGTTGAGCAGTCAAGCTGAGGAGTGAGAAGCCTTCTCTCGGACGAGGTCGTATGGTGTTGCTCGTTGCCATGGGCAGCGTTTCAGTCATCAGGGCCGCATGCAGACGTTCAAGAGTGCAATCGCTTCAGCATCATATCGTATTTCACGCTCTCTCTGTCGAGAATCAACGCAAGACTTGACACGAAGACTACGCGTGAAGCATCATTCTGCCATATTTTTCCGACTTGAATGGTGCTCAGGTTGGCCTCGGCATCACTGGTGTTGTGGTTGCGGCAGCATTGAAAGCAACTTCGACAACAGAGGAAACATCGAAAGAGTAGCAGAAGCTTCGCAGTGGCCGTCTAACATTCTGAAACAACCGGTTGACTGCAGATTGAGCTGCCACCAGGACAACTGGCCTGAGCCTGACGGACTCCTGCCTGCTACGCTTGGTCTATTGCAGATGAACACTGTTACTACGATGTGCTGCTTTGTCTCAACTTCGGACTGATCCTCCAGTCTGTCGCGAGACTCCACTGTCAGGAACCACCACTACCGCTGGATTTGGCACATCTGGTCACGGCTGGCCTGCACCGGCTCCACCGCCGCCGGAGGATGATTGGCCTGCACCGCCGCCACCGCCGCCACCACCGCCGCCGCCCATGAGGCAGCAAGAGCCATTGGGCGGAGTGCCGGAGGCTCAAGTGGATGTTTGCATCAAGAACTTGAGCGTTCTAAGTGGGTCTTTGACAGTACTCAGGAGTCCAAGCATGGCTTCCCGGCACAAACCAGCAAGACTTGGGTTGGTCCTGCAGGAGGCGTAGCAAGCATGGAAAGATTCGCAGTTTTGTCGAAAGGACACTCCCTTGCTAGTGACGCTGGTCAGCGTGCCATGGCCTCGGATCCCTCTTGCCGCAAGAAGGGATGTGTCAGGTTGTTGAGCGATGAATTCGTGAGCCTGAGGTTATTGCTGGGTGGCGTTTGCTTGCTGCTAGTCTGTGTGCTTGCGATGCGGCGCTGCAGAGTTCCAGCTCGACGTACAGCGCAAGACAGTCCCTTGGAGAGGACGGTCCCCCCGCACTGGCAAGGCGGTATCAAAGGCTGCAAAGCCATGGGTGTGCCAGGAGCCAACTCGACTGGGAGGAGAAACTCAAACTCGCCAAGGAGGCAATTCCACATTGCATTTGATTCGAGGGCGGGCTGCTGGGGAGTTGATCTTTCCTGCAAGCAGACTCCGGAAAACTCTGAGTCCAGGTGTGCTTCTGCGACGATGCTGCACCCGGCAGCAGCAGGGTGTCACTTTGACAGATCAAGTGGCCTTCAGGGGGGGGCAGAAGAACCTTTCCCTGAACTGCTGGCTTGGAGAATCGATGCCCGACAGGGGCATGTCAATGACCCATCTTCTTTCAGTGTGTCTAGATCGGAAGAGGGGGAACTTTGCATGGGCTGGTACAGACCTTGGCCCAAAAAGGAGAATGACTCTGTGATGTACAGTTTGCTCATGCAGTTTTGTTAGGCTCTGGCTTAGCCGTGTCTAAGCCTGTGTTTAGCCAAAGGCTAGCATGGCGAGGCCGGTGCTAGAGCATCACTGACAAAAAGAACAAAACAGAGTCGGGTAGGCTGAAAGCTGGGGGTCCGGACCTCATGTTCTGGTGTGGGCTTGCACAATTTGTATCTACCAGACAGAGGAGCTGCTGAAAGATCACGCGCTTTTGGCAGGCTGAGACGGCAGAGAACGATGGCAAAAGCACAGCCGATGGCAAGGGTCCCACGCCGGCACTGCCGGCACCAAAGGCATCCTTGGCTAAAGGGTTCTTGGGGCATCTTGGGACCTCCCCAAACCCTGGCAAAGTGTTCCTGGTTGCAGCATAGTGCAGAAAGGTGCAATAGCCACGATGATGTAGGCCTGGTGACACGGCAGCTAGTTGAGATTACATCATAAGTAGGATGAGTAAAGCTCGTCAGCCGACCTGTTGCGCTACTTGCCGCTACTTCCTCGTTGGTCAGCTATTTGGGTTGCCATTCTCTGCCCATATCAGCCGTCAGCAGTTCGTTGTTTGCAGAGCAGGCCGATGTGTCGGATTTGCCAGCAGTGCGTTTGAGTGTGCTACAGCGGCCGCTCTGCACCGGGCTAGTATTCTTCGATGACCGAGGAGCCTGACCGAAGTCATTCTTGATCGGGGTCAGATCGGGGTACGGGCTCTGGTTTCTATTGGTCTCGCGCAGGTGGCCACGATGGTCATTGAATCTGACTCGGACACGGAGAAGGGAAAGGCATCCATCGTGGCAAGTGGGTTCAAACTGCGGAGTCCAAGAGAGGCTTTTCTCGCGAGGCTCCAGCTCCGGCTCCCCCAACAGCGCCACCAGCGGCAGCACCCCCTGCTGCGGTGCCTCCACCTCCTGCCGCAGCTGCACCGGCGCAGGTTCTTCAAAATTCGAGTCGAACTTCAGATTTTGTCGAGAAGAGACTAGGCAAATGCAGGCTCTAACATCATAGAATCAGCCAAGAGCCGACACCTCTTAGAAGGCTTCTGCTTCCTGAGTCCACTTTGTCCCCTTGGACTCCTCCGGGTTGAGTTCAGGCGCATGTTGTATCCTGTCGAAGGAAAAAGAAAAGTCAAAGAAAGAGAAGAAGGAAAAGAAAAAGAAAGCCAAGAGCTCTTCGTCGTCGCTGGGAGCTTGGGATTGCTTGGGATGCCACGAGTCATCCGCCAGCTCTTTGCGCAGTAGCCGTGACTGCATGTAAGAGTCTTGCAGTGTCATTGGACAGCTTCGGGTTGGTCTCCAAGAAGTAGCCTTCGGCGGTAGTCAGCACACCGTATACCACAAAGAAAAGCCTTCAAGCTGTGGGTCTGGCTGTATTAACGACGAAGCGTAGCACCTCCCCAGGGACAGCGACAGCGATTCGGATGCGCCGAAGAAGAAGCGAAGGCCCGGCTGCGCCAAAGTGCCAAGTCCCTGCGGACGCTGACGGCCTTGCTGCAGAATGATCTCACAGCAGTTCGCACCATCCGAACTTTCCGAAGGATCAACAACTTCAGCTCCCTGCGGAATATCGAGAAGGAACGAGTGTGGCCAGCGCGCTTTGCAGAGTCCCGGCTACACCAATCGTGAAGTTGTACGTATTAGGTTCAGCACTCGACTTCTCAATGCATCTCCATGCCAGGCGGAGGTGCGCAAAAATCGCAATGCTGGCGCGGATGCCGCGGCGGCAATGCTGAAAGCGAGAGCCTTACATTCGCTAGATTCGCTGACAGTGCTAGCTATTCATTATTTGCTGTTTCTTGCCTGAACAATCTCAGGCGCTCAGCGACAACCCGTACTTTGCCCCGTAAGGCCGGAGAGTTTGGAAGCGACTGATCATCCACTGTGGCTGACAGCTGACAGTGTAGAGTTTTTCATCTGGCATGGCATGCCTGCACTCCCGATGGCATGATTTCCGAAGCGATGCAGGCCAGAAGATCAAATCTGACTTCGCGGATGCGCCAAACCTCGCAGATCCGAGAGCTGTCGGTAGAAAAATGTAGAAAACCTCCAAAGTATGTTTCTGAGACCAGCAGGTGGCACCATGCCACACAGATGTCTCTGCGAACTATGTGAGATCAAACTCTTGTTGCCACCGTGTCTTCGCATCTTGCAGGAGGACTAGCAGACGAGCACTGCAGTTTCTGCACAGCATAACTTCCATATCTTCCTCGTTTGCAGGTTTCGTTTTGCCATCTTTGGGCTCAAACCGTAGGGCCTGTGGAGAGGGCAGATGTGACAAGGCAGACTCGACCTGGTCATTGCTGGCTTTGTGCCATGCAGCCTCAGGCCCACCGTGGCATCATCTGCCCTGGCGTTGGCTGATGCTTATTGCCCCGTGCCGTGCCAGGCATTCTTGACCTTTTTGCCAATCTTCGTCATTTTGCGCTACAATCTGCAACTCGGGCTGCGCGAAGGGGCCAGACGCTTCACCCGCCTGCCATCTGTTTCACCAGCTAGGTTCGAAGAACCGCTGCCCAAGAAGGTGACATCCTCGGCTCACACACACTCCCACTGCTATCGTCCAGGACATTAGCATGAGCCAAGGTTGTGCAGACACCGTCGGTGCTGCCCAGCCTCACTCCACAGTCACAGGCGGGATCTTGCACAACTCCCCGTGGTGATGGCAGTACGCAGTTAGAATTGTGGAACTTCCATCGCGCATGTCTCGATGAGGCCACGAACGCCTGGCAAGCAGAGGGCAAGGCGGCAGCAGCATCAACGCAGTGACTGGATTCGGATGCATTCCCCGAGCTGCGTGTGTGCCCACTGCGACATGCTCCTCGCAAGGTGTGTAACACGGTGTTTGACACATTCACATCGTTGTGATCTGTCGGCATCCGGTTTTGCATGAAGAACTGACCGAAAGTTAAAAATGTCATGAGAGATTGAGCATCATGCAAAAGGAAATCCTGATGTTAGAATTTTGAAGGCCGATCCGGCGACGGACGCCCGGGGGGAGTGCAGGGATCTTGGCTTTGCAGACGTGGCGTAGTGAAAGCTTTGACCATGGCGAACCTGTCCGGTCAGGTGGCTTTGGAAACTGTCTGGCCGCTGTGCCAGCCTGCATTCCAAAAGGTCGGTGGGCATCATTTGTCGTAAGTGCTAATGCAGATTTTCATCACAGAATAGAGATTGCCCTCCGCATCGTCAAAGGTCACAGTAGTATACAGTAGTGGCACTAGTTGCACACTTTTGATACGTAGGACATAGAGTCAGCATTAGAGTCATGCGAGGGACGAGCGCGCAGTTCACGAGCGATGTGGGAAGCAGGCTCCATGGCTGCTCTCTGCGAGCCTTCACAGGGCAAGCCGGGCAATGTGAGCTGGTTGCAAGTGAACGAAACTTGGCCAACCATGCCGCAGACATGAGCTGACGGCAAAGCGCAGTGCATGTCGCGAGAGCTTAAAAACCTCTTGAGGGTGCGGCTGCTGCATTGCTGCATATGCGAGTTTTCAATACCGCCTGGCAGCTAATCAGAAATTCAGGCAGCCCTGGCTGCAGTCTTCCATCCCAGCATGAGCTTTTAACTCGTCACAACGTGTCAAAGGTCTTCAACGGCAAAAGGTTGATTCTGGATGGAAAGCTCATATCAACTCATATCTGCTGAGGCTTTATGTTCTCACTGCGTGCGGCGAAATGCCAGGCTGGAAACCCGAGGCCTGCAGGACTCTTGATTCCATGGTGATCGTGGCACGTACCCGAACCTGTCCATGCTGAGTGAAGAGTGTGAGTTCAGTCTTGCCCCAGACGGCTAGAGCAACCAATGCCACAAGTGGCGTTGTCTAATACACAGTCACACTCAGCATGGGCTACGGATTTCAATGTTTCTGCAACAGAGCCGCTGCAACTTGCGATCAGAGGGTGTCTTGCTGACAGAGGCATGGAGGACCAGGCGAGAGTCGAGTCATGCAGTTGGCCATACAAGTTGCAGCAAGCTGCGCTGGATCAGCGATGTGCAAAGCGTCGTTGCACGGAATACCCACCCGAATACGCTTCAGTCGCGTGGTGCCGGTCTCAGAACAAACCTCCTCCGCCTATCAGGAGTTGAGAAAGCAAAGGCCTAAAAGAACCTGTTGAGCTTTTGTTCGTGACCTGAACCTGCACTTCCTGGAGCTGCCATGGCCCCGATGCCTCAGAATCCAGGAAGCAGATGCAAGGTTGTCCGGCTCTTTCTCTTGCCACACGTCAAATGCAAAGAACGATTCTGGGTTGTCAACCAGTTCGTCTCAACTAAACACAAAAGCCAGGAGTCCCTGAGTTGCGATCCAGATTGGTCGTTTGGTGGCACCAGCCCAGCTTGACAGACGGCAGCAATGCTGTTGTGCTTCATCAGCTGAGCACGTACATAAGATTGTAGCGAGCTTCATTTAGTGCTGTGCACTGCTTCGCCTTCATCCTTCGAGCCTCCTGCAAAGTTCAGCCCTGTATCGGGCAGAGGGTGCAATGCTACATCAGGACCCGGAAGGCAACACATGCATCACTGACGAGAAGACGTGCACGACACTGGAGGCGGTAATATGACGATTGAGTCTGTGTCAGTCAAGGTGTGAGGCAACAAGATTAGATGTGCTTGAATACGCCCCGGGATGCCAATAGAAGCAAACTGTCACGGCCCACCGAATCCCTACTGGGATTCTTCCTTTGAGCGTGCACGCGAGCTGCACAGAAGTGCTTGGAGACATCAGAAAAGCCGTGTCAGCTTGAGTACTGCGAGCAACTTGAATCATTTCTTCGCAAGATCGTGATATATCATGATTTATCTGAAGACTGTCAAATTTATGTTATTACATGTCGTGGTTTCTAATCTCAAAATCTCATTGATAATCAATCATTCTCTATATTTTCTCTTCATATACGAAATATCGAAAATTGCGGTCGATCTAATAATAAATAAAATGATTATATTATATTAGATCGGAGGATCGAAACTAAATGATAAGATAATTAATGATCTAACGAAGATAATTTATAGAGATCGATTAATTTCTATATATATATAGATAGGATCTTAAATATTTTTTTAATATAAAAGATATAATAATTAGAAATTTAAATATTTGTATAGAAATATTGAATTCGAATAATAAGAATATATTCTAAAAATATATAATAAATAAGAACCCGTATATTTAGATACGTAGGCAATTGAATTATATATATATATATAAAGATAACCCAAGCTAAAATTCTTTATTGGAGAATATATAAAGAATTTCTAAATATATATTAAAAAATATTAGATATGGATAATTAGATTTCTGTATAATTTCTGAATTTTTGAATTAGAGATGACTTGAATATTTTATAATATATTAAATATTTGAATAGGATATATAGAGTTTGGAAATTCTATATAGATTCTCTTATATTGCGCGTTTCTCTATTAATTTAAAAAAAATTGGATTAAGATATATATTTGATGATATGATTGCCGTATGATGATTGGTATTTGGAATCGAAAAACTTGAGGTTAATTATAATTATTTTTATGTGTAAAGTAATTTTATAATATTTCTATTTAAATGAATTTTTAGATTAAATTTATACTAATATATTAATATAAATAGTTTTTTCTATAAAGATGACAATTTTTATAGAATTTTTATTTAATTTTAATTAATTTCTATAAAATATCGAAGATTTCTGTTCGATATTATTTTTGAAAAAAGAAATATATTAATATTGGTAATTGATTGAAGTGCAGCTAGATCGTATAAAAATGAATATTCTATATTTTTTGAAAGGAAAGATATAAATATTGATTATGAGATTAAGAATATGTAAAATAATATCTCTGTCTTATTTGATTTTTAAATTATATATCGATTGATTTCATATCTTGAATATATTATTTGACGG